AATCTGGACCAGCTCTCGAGACGCAAAGGGCTGAACAATTGCCAACAGGGCGGGCATGGAGGCGAGAATAAAAAGGACCGACGATCGCCTCTTATCAAACAAGCCTCATTGACAGATCAAACTTTTGTGATGGCATCAACATTTGGGCAAACTAGAACTATTTCAACTAGACCGTCAAGTTTTGAGCATCTCTTGGCGGTTCAGGGTCGTGAGTCTGCCGCGCAAAAAGGTCAGCTGGCACAGAAATGTGTTGAAATTGTCTGTTTTTAAAACACGTGTCACTATCTTTGGTCTTTAGTGTGCATCTTTATAATGCCAAAATTCACACCTTTGGTTTCATTAAAAATCCCAACGAGATTTGAAACTGGAAAGTGTGCATCGTGGCAACACGTTAGCAATCTAGGCTTCTTCCGAATAGTGCGATTGTCGGTGGGGCAAGGATATATTTGCCATTAAAATCGTCGATATTAGTTATCTTCTCTATTATATGTATTAAATAATAATTGAATCACTTTAGATATTCGAGGTAAAATTCCACCATGTATCTTTAAACCGTCATAAATGCGTTAGCGGGAATAGTTCTTTTTCAATAATTACGCCGAACTTCTGATCATACTCACAGGTTTATGAGATTGCTTATAGATAATGATCTGGACGATAAAGTGATGTAGAGTCATTTTAAAGATGAATTAAATTATTTAACGTAACTTAAGGAAGGATGAATGTCAAAACTTATTTAGCTAGAAAACTGGGGCGACCAGAAGACCTTATTCAAGTCCTGTTTCCTTTATGATATGAAGAAAAACTGGGTTTCTAACGCATTTCCGGTTCGGGAAATTAACTTCACTCATTTGCAAGCATGTAGAGTAAGGTTGAAGTAGCCAACCAAATCGGGGGAGGCTGTTAGTATTAAAAAGCGACTAAGATTGCAGCCGGCCAACTTTTCTCTTGGTTTAGAATATTTTTTGCTCAATCTTGTAAAGTATGGAGTCTTGCTCTGATGATGTCCTTCCCAGTAACTGTACAGACGAAAGCTTAGCACAGTTTCATCAGGGTCGCAGATCTGGGAGCAGAGAACTCCTTCGCACAGTTTAACAGTCTTCTATACGCGGCAATAACCCTTCGATTTCCGGTGAGACCACATCACGAATTCCTTCCAACCAACTTTCCCTTCGAAATGGAGAGTCAAGCCACAATATTCCTGTTTCATCTGTTAGTGTAGTCACAATAAGTTCCAGCATTGGGATGCTGACTTTGTCTACGAGGCCTCTGGGAGTATACCAAGTCAAAGATGCTGGAAATTATCAAAACTGCCATGTTTGGACCTGTGGAACTGAATACTTTCCAAAATTCTCCCTATTGCCAGAGTGAAGTTTTGAAAATGAGGCCAACACAATATTATAAAGCAAAAGAATGCAGACACAAAACTCAAGGTTGCACCAAATTTGTCATAGTATCTATGACTATCAAAATATGGTTGCTCCTTGAATGGTGTTTATTTTCACTTGATAGTCACATTTTCATTTGAACTTCTGGTTACTGAAGAATAAGATGAAGCATTTTTGTCGAGTTTGTTACCATCAAGATAGTTTGGCTATGACTGAGTCAAGCACCCATAGTATGCTCAGTGTTTAAGGGCTGGCTTTTGTCAAAAATATTTGATTTTTAATTGGCGTGATTCGTTTTGGTACCTTTTCTGCGCACCAAATTCTAAATTCCTGCTTCTGTATACATGCATTTCCGACCTTCAGTGGTACGAGCAGTTCATTTTACGGCGCCAAAAGTCTTTCGGCGAACCGACTACTCCATGCAATTTTCTCCCTTGCTTCGCTCTGGCCAGTACCAGTACATCGTTGCCACCGACGAGCCCTTTAGCAGCTCAGTTTTTTCGACAATCCATTAGCTTTTTCTTGGTTGACACGCACTGTCTTTCCTTCATAAGTTCGGAGCTTGTTCCGAGTTACCATTACCCAATTCATTCCTAGAGCTATTTTAAAGTTCTTTAAGGATTAGCAGCACCTGCAATTAAAACGGTATTATCATAATACAAACAATGTATTGTATTTTCATCATTTTGGGTACATCAAGCAGCAAGTACACATTAAGGAATTTAAAAATAAATCATAAAATAATTATTATCATTTCCTTTTGTAGGCATCTAAGGCGTTCATATGATAAATAAATGGAGGCCAAATATAGATGCGTCTTTCCCCAAAATTGATGCTTCTAAGTCAAACGAAGCAATGAAGACATTTTCGCATTTGTAGGTAGGATTTCGCGACCAAAAGTAGATCATATGAGATAACGATGACCGAGGCGAGGTCAAACTTGCAGTCTATTCTATACTTGGTGTGAATACCATTTATGAAAGCAAGGCTATGTGAAAGTCAATGAAAACGTCAGCTCTACTCATATCATTGTAGGAAAAATCAACTCACGTCCCCTTAGCAACTTAGACAGAATAGAGTGAATACACATCATATATAGGGAGAACATTATCTGCAAATAAT